CTAAATCAGAAAATAGTTAGTCCCTCCCTATCTCTGTTTTTCTTTTGTCGGGGGAAGGGTGCGGCTACACGTGGGCTAGAAAATAGTATAACCGATTTTGGGTTACTATTCTCTGATTAAGCACAACAGATTTCCTCCAATTTTACTGTTCCGCGATTGGGAAAGCTTATATTAAAGACAATTCTCCAATTACATGGTTCTTTCGATTTTAGCCAATTTATTAATTATTATCAATTATATCGGCTCCAAGTTTCAATGCCTTCATTGTGTGTCTCGCTCATCAAGAAAATTTCAAAAAACCCAGGAGTTGTCCAGGAATTGCAGGAGTAGTGCGAACCCTTTCCATATAACTGTTTTCAGTTTCTTAAAACATGCAAAGCAGTTAATTTTCAGTTTTATTTCTGTTGGATATCGCATTTAAAGCCTTCTACCCTCTTGTAATTAAAAGGAAAGACTTTTCACACCCAGGGAAAAGAAGAAGTTCTTCCTGTGGGGACCATGGAAGGGCGTTGTTTCTGCCGCTCCTGTGCAGGCTAACTGCCTAATGGGAATACTATATTTACATAATCATTCGGCGTCATATAGGGCCAATAACTCCACGTAATAATTTTGTGTTCGTTCCAAATCTATTTCCAAACCAGTTTGCTAAATGACCTGAAATGACCCGTCCCCTCCCTGCAAAAAACTGCCCCATTGAAGGGGGAATGTGACATGCAAAGCCTCCTGGGAGTTCCATCCGCCATTTTGTCTTTTGTAGACATACGCCACTTGTACATCTCCCAAAATGCACCTTATTTGCTCCCCAAAATTTTGCATAAGCATTGTTTTCCATTTCTCTTGGAAAGGCTGTAATACCTGGAAGAAATGAAAAACAAAGGTTATGCAAAATTTGGGGGGGCAAATAAGGCGCATTATGGAAGATGTGCAAGTGGCGTATAGGTGGAAAGTAGTTCTTGAATGGGCATAGCTCTCATGGGCAGCCCAATAACTAATGAATGTCTTCAACAAACCACTCATATTTTCAACGCATGATCAGTCCCGAACAAGAGAATCGGAACTTCCTCATCAATGATCAGAAGCCAACATGAAAAGTGATTGCAGAAAACCTCCATAGATTAAAGCAAACGTCTAAATCAGGGGGCGCATTCATTAACCTGTGTTTTCCTGCCTTTTCTCCCAGAGACCTCCTCCAAAAAATCTCGACCAATTGTAAAAGAAGTTTAGTAACTAACCTGTGGGATGTTCCCGGTGTAACACTGTTACGTAGCACTTAGAACGTCACCCCAGCATTGGCTCTCGAAATTTTTGATAAGCATAGACAATACAGTTAAACCCTGCTTTATGGACATCCGCTTAATGCGAAGACCTCATTATTACGGAAGTTTGCTTTGTCCCTGGAAAAAAGAAAGCCCATACATTTTCTCTAAATTCAACCCACTTAATATGAAGACCCTTTTAATATGGACACTCTCTATCGCCCCTCAGTGTCCATATTAACAGGGTTACAAACATTGTTTAGCCTTTTTGGTTTGCGCAAACCCCTAAAGAATGATTTTGTCAGTTTTCAACAAGAACCAAAAGAAGAGGGTAAGCTATCAACAGGTTCAAAAGTAATACCATAGTATAGCTGAACCCCTGTTCAGGTAATCTTGGATACCTAGACAGTTTAAGTGTGGGCACAAGAGCAAAACACATCAAAATGTACACATTTTCGAACAAAAAAGTACTATATGAACAGGGCCTTGGTTTAGAGTTTGTAAAATAATGATGATGGCTGCTTAGTCAGTACACAGTCAATGACTAAACAAAATTTTACATTTCACAATGATATTTTATTGTGCTGAGAGTGTTTTATTATCACTCAATGCTTAACGTCACATTTATTTAAAGACCAAGCAAATAACAAAATGCACCGTTGAGTGTTCATTTTTAAGAATCTCTCATCACCCTCAAAAGTGTGTTGAAGCATGAAAAAACAGTCTTGATAATTGTCAAGGCAAGATGTGTCCACAGATTCCAGAGAAATAAGGTCAGTAGCTGCCCAAATGAACTCATTTTATCTGTATATCCTCCTCAGGAAAGACCTGAAACAAAATAGACCTTACATAAATCAGTAATAATTTTATGATTCATAGATAGCATTATACACACAGTAAAATACTACCTAAAAGCCCTGGGTATTAAGACTTTATGGGATATTTGGGTTGGTTAACTTGGGTAAAGGACAGAGGGTGCAGAAGGAGAGGGATAGGAAAGATAAAAGCTCTCACAAGCTACAAAAACGTTTTCTACCAAAGCCAGTAAACGAAATTTGAAATGTAGTTCAACTCTTTTACTTGTTAAGAAAGTGATGGAGGGGCCCTTATTCGAGGGGGAAGGGGTGGGATGCGCTTGTATGATATTATGGTCTAAGGGGAGGTCGCTTATTGGAGCATGCGCGCTTATCATAAGAGAAAATACGGTAACCTTCCAATCTGAAACGCTGTGATGGTGGTGTCACCATTCTGCTATTTTATCCGCTTGTCCTGTTGAAAAGAACACAATAAGCCAACTAGTGCGTAAGACAGTTACACAGATATAACTGAATAACAGAGCCCGTCTTCTTAACATATGGGATCGGAGATTGTTAAATGTTTTTTTTTTACGGTTAGAAAATAGGGAAGGACTATTCACTTACGGTTATTTTTGACTTTTTAAAATTTTAACCCTCTCACTCCTCATAGACCTAATGGTGGCCGAAAAAAAAGTCACGCGGAAATTCAAATTTCCTTTTGTAAAATGTAAGAAATATGAAGTACTATGCAAACGTTTTACCAAAGAGGTTGGATTTGAGCGGTAACACCATGAGATTTCGCTCTCAGATGTAAAAGTTAGGGTTATAATTAATCTCGCCAGGAGATCGATTCTTACCTGTATGAACAACGTTCTACGTTTATTTCAGATCATTTCCGCGCCCCTTTTTTTGTCGCACTAACCTCTCTCCTCCGCAGAGGCTCTTGCTGGGTATCCATAATCACAAAGTAGCAAGCCCGTGGGGACGTCGCTAGCGCGCTTTCTCTTTTGCCTCCCCACGACACAAAAGAGGCCTCTGCGGTGGAAAGAGGGCACTGACAAAAATTTTCTGCGGCATTGTTTTCACGGAAATCCCCCAATGCCACATTCTAGAACACACCTTGCCAGTGTCAAAAGTTTTGCTTTTTTTTTTCTAAAGCTTTCTACCAGAATACTGATAGATGAACATTGAATTGAGCTGATAACGTGAATTTGCCACTTTAAAACGATTGAAAAGCTGGCAATGGAACGATTTACTCGCTTTGACGAAAAGCTAGCGTTAGAAACGTTAGTCTCCTTCGCAGCCGCCGGAGTAACGTATTGTCACGCCCCCCGTTCGCCGGCA